GTTTTCTGGTGGTTTATTGGAGATAAGAGTTTCACAAGCTGGGTGCTGGTGGCTCACACTTGTAATCCTAGCTACTCAGGAGGCTGAGATCTGAGGATCGCGGTTCAAAGCCAGCCAGGGCAGGAAAGTCTGTGAGACTCTTATCTCCAATAAAGCACTAGAAAACCAGAATTGACACTGTGGTTCATGCGGTAGAGCGCTTGCCTTGAGCTGAAGAGCGTAGGGACAGTGCCCAAGCCCAGAGTTCAAGTTCCACGACCGACCAAAAAAAAAAGTTTCACAGACTTTCCTGCCAGGTTGGCTTTGAACTGTGATTCTCAGATCTCAGCCTCCTGAGTAGCTAGGATTACAGGCATGAGCCACTGGCGCCCAGCCATGTCCAAGTCTTTTCATCCCTTCCAAACCCATTTGTGCCCTGACTCAAACTCCCATACTGGAGTTTGAACTTAGGGCTTAGATGCTGTCCCTTAGTTCTCTCTCTCTCTCAAGACTGGTGTTCTAGAAGTGGTGCTGTGACTTAAGTGGCTTAAGTTTGCCTTGAGCTGAAGAGCTGAGGACAGTGCCCAGATCCAGAGTTCAAGCCCACGACCGACCAAAAATCAAAACCAAAAAAACCCCAAAAGACTGGTGCTCTATGGCTGAGAAGGTGGCTCAGCGATAGAGTGCTTGCCTTGCATGCATGAGGCCCTGGGTTCAATTCCTCAGGACCACATAAGCAAAAAATAAACTGGAAGTGGCGCTGTGGCTCAAGTAGTGGAGCGCTGGCCTTGAGCTGAAGAGCTGAGGGACAGCGCCCAGGCCCACAGTTCAGTCCCCATAACCAACAACAGCAGCAACAACAAAAGAGAGACTGGTGCCCTACCACTTGAGCCATACTGACACTTCCAGCTTTTCTTTTCTTTTTTTGTAGTTCATTGGAAATAAGAGTCTGAAGGGTTTTCTGTCTGACTTTGAATTGCAAACCTCAGATATCAGACTCCTGCATAGCTAGGATTACAGGTGTGAGCTACCATTGACCAGCAACCATTACCCAGGCATGAACTACCAGTGCCCAACTTGGAAAGTTTTGATATGTGTGCCTTACTTATTTCCTCAAAAGATAGTCTGTATGACCACCCATCCTGGGAAAGTTCAAACCTGCCTCTGCCATCTTTGTAAGGTGGCTCTGTGTTTTGGGTTCTATCCCTTCTTTTCACCAACTATCCACCCTACCTGCATGCAGTAGTGTGTGTGTGTGTGTGTGTGTGTGTGTGTGTGTGTGTGGCATGCACAAGTGCCAGTACTGGGGCCTCCCTTTCTTGTTTGGCTTTTTGCTCAAAGGTAGTTCTTTACACTTAAGCCACAGCTACACTTCAGTGTTTTTCTAGTTAATTGGAGATAAGAGTTTCACAGAGGGCTGGGAATGTGGCTTAGTGGTAGAGTGCTTGCCTAGCATGTATGAAGCCCTGGGTTCGATTCCTCAGTACCACATAAACAAGAAACCAGTGCTGGAAATGGCGCTATCGTTCAAGTGGAGACAGTACCCAGGCCCTGAGTTCAAGCTCCAGGACGGGCAAAAAGAGAAGGGGGGTGGATTTTCATGGAGTTTTCTCCTTGGCCTGGCTTCAAACTATGATCCTCAGATCTCAGAACCTAAGCAACTACGATTATAGGTGTAACCCACTATTGCCCAGATCATCTAGGTCCTTTTGTCCAAGTCTTGCATCACTCCCCAAACCAGCTGCTTTTAATTTTCCCTCCCCTGATCAAGATATCCCCAGGGTCACACCCACATCTTCCCTGACCACCAGCCACAAAACTCTTTCTGGTCTCCCTCTTGCTCACTTGGCACAGTACTGGGCTTGATATGCCAAGAACCTATAAATCAATTTCTACCGTAGGGCCTTTGCACATGCTGTTCTGAGAGCCAGGATTGCTTTTCCTTGGACTTTTTTGGCCTTCCTCCTTACTACCTATATTTGTCAGCTTGTGTTCTCTCACCCCCATCTCAGTGATTGGGGGCATCTCCTAGCTTTCATTTTGGGAGCTGGTCCCTGTTTTCAGGCTTGGGAGCAGCCATGGTATATGCTGGTACATGGTACACATGCAAAATGTGTACCAGACATTCTCTTAGTCCCTAGTGCAACAGGTGGAAAAGGGTCCACTGAAGTCAAGATGTCCTGAGAAACATGGCTCTCCAGAGCCCATCCCAGGCCCTCACCCTAGTATCCAAGGGCTTTCTTTCTTTCCTTTTTCTTTTTTGACAATCCTGGGGTTTGAACTCAGGGCCTGGGCACTGTCCCTGAGCCTCTCTGTGCTCAAGGCCAGCAGCGCTCTACCACTTGAGCCACAGTGCCATCTCTGACTTTTTCTGAGTAGTTTATTGGAGATAAGAGTCTCATGGATTTTTCTGCCCAAGCTAGCTTTGAACTGTGATCCTCAGATCTCAGTCTCCTGAGTTCCAAGACTTTTCTACAACAGGACTCCACCCAGTCTGGCCCACAGTGCTCGCCATGTGCCAGATCTTGGTGGTGTTGAATGCCATGCTCAGGAATGCATCCTCCATCTGGGTCCCCGTTAAAGACAGCTAGGGACTCCCTAAAGGCCACAGAATTACTCATAAACCATCACAAGAATAAGAGAAGGTGGTGAGTTAGCTCTCAGAGGGTAGCTGAGACTCTAAGAGGGCTGCCTCCAAAGCCAGGCTCACCTTGGGGTCTCTCTTGAGGTGCAGGCGATGGCCCCAGTGTGGAGTCAGGGACTGCTGGACCACACCCCGATGCCGCAGGTGGAAATATTGCCCGTCAGGGAAGATCTGGGAATGTGAGGAGCAACTGTGCTGCTGGGACCCAGCTCCTCTGAAAGAGCCCTCCCCCAGAGGAGGCAGGGGGTCAGGTCCTTCCCTGTGCACCCGCCCCCACCCAAGTGCCCAGGTAAGGGGGTTTCCCATAAACACTGGGAGGCCTAGAATGCAAAGATGGCAGTGAAAGGGTAAGCAGAGGTTCTTGATACTTGCGGGGGTGGTGGTGATGGTGGTGGGAGGAGGGGGGGGTCTCAGGGACTAAGACACTCTGTCAGTCTGGAGTGGTCCAGCCTTCACTTCCCAACCATCCAAGTCATGATCACCCACCTGCCCTAGATTGACGAAGCCGAATTTGCGTGAGAGGCGCTCAGCCTCCTGATAACCTTGGGTCACCCGCACGGCCCAACTGCTGACATAGATGGGGGCTCGGGCCGATGCCCACCCTACAGCCAGGGGCCCGAAGGGGGCCAGGTTGAGGGCCACGGCCAGGCTCAACCACAGCGCAGTTGGGGCGAGCCGCATGGCGGCGGGGGCGGGGCCAGGGGCGGGGCAGCTGGAGGTCCCACCCTCGGCCAAACCGCCGAGTCGGCCCGGCGCCCGCCCCGCCCCCAGCACCATAGCAACCCCGAGGCTTCCGACTCCTTGAGGGCCTGGCGGATCCCTCTCCCAACGAGGGGCGGGAGGTCCGACGGAAATCGTGGGGGGTGGAGAGCGGGAGAAAGCTTGCCCGCAGACCTAAGCCTTCTGGAGCCTCAACCTGTCCATTTACACAGGGACGCCCTCTCTGGCCCGGAGAAGCAGGTTTAATGTTGTACTGCGGGAGCCGATTCTCAAACTTTATTTGGTTCCGCCCACTTTCTTACAAATACCCCTCCCTCAGAAACTAGCCCTGGCTCTTATCTGCGACTAGTCCCGCCTCCTTCCACTACACCTTCCCTGTCTCCGCCCCTTAGACCCCGCCCCGCCTCCTTTATGATCAACCCCGCCCTTCTTTCGGCTTCACCAATGACTCTTCTGCTTCTCCAATCAGCTCTGGCCTTTACCTGGCCCCTCCCACCTGGTCTTCCCACCCTAGCCAGGTGTCTCTTCTCTCTAGCTCCACCCACCTCAAAAGCGCAGCCAATAATCCCGGCCCTGACGCCACCTTTCCAATCAGTTACGTACCACTTCCTCTCGACCAATCAGAGCGCCAGGCCGCTGCGCCCCGCCCTCTCCCTGATGAGTTCCTACGGTCCGGGCCGCCGTCCGCCAGAGGGCAATGCGGCGGGGGAGACGGGGCAGGCCCCACCTCCTTTGTCCGCCCTGCCCTCCCATTGGCCCTGGCGGGGGGGCGGGGACGGAGTCCGGGCCGGGGGCGGAGCAGGGCAGCCCGCGCCCGGGCATGGCTGAGCAGAAGCCAAGGGGTAGGTGTACTGGGAAGCGGACAAGTTCGAGCTGCCAACGCCGGGGCCGCCGGGGCCATGGACGGCCTGCGACAGAGGTTCGAGCGCTTTCTGCAACACAGGAATCTAGCCACCGAAACACTCGGATGGCTCGAAGCCTGGACCGGTGTCGAGAAGCGTTATCTGGCCGTGGGTGAGCCCCATTTCAGCGACGGGCACACCGAGGCCCTGGGCATCGAGGTCTCGGGCCTCAGCACCTCTCCGAATGGCCCTGGCATCGGGAATCCGGTCCGGGTGGAGCGCGCGCTCCATTGCCCAGCGGAGATCCTGGGGAGGGGAGCTGGGTCTGGGGTCGATCTTGAATCCATTCATGGCCCCTTGCCCGGCTGCAATATGCGACCTTGGGAAAGGACCACCCCTAGGTCCCGCAGCACCTTCCTGTAGTCCAAGTACCTCTGTCGTCCCTGGCCCCCTTCTTGGGGCCCTGGGTGTCCGCCAGACTCAGGTCCAGTTCTTCCAGTTGCTTAGCCCGCCTTGGGTGATCAGAGGGCATTCCAGCCGCCAGTGTCCCGTGTTCCCACGACCCCTTTCCTGGTAGATCCCAGCCTCGCATCACGTCTAGAAGACATGTCCAGTTTTGTCTGAGGAGAGGCCCTGGAGGGGACCCTCCTCCCCTGCGCTTTGGGAGGCTGTCAGCGTTCTCTTGTCCTACCTGCTCTCCTTGGACATCCATTGGGTTGTTTGACACCTGTAATTGGGGCCCTGGAAAAAGGAGAATTCACAACACAACCCATTGTAACAATGACAGTCTGGCGAGCATAGTATGTTTCTTCAATGCTCAGACACTTTGAATCCGGGGGAACCCTAGGTGGAAGACAGTGTCATTTATTTTTTAAAAAACACTCTCTGGGGAGAGATTGGAGGAGTCTAGCTTCCTTCCATTTTTCACAACTGGAGGACTCCTGTGTGGAGGCTTCCGTTAGGCTGTCTTAGGGAGATGTGAAATCAGTGCCCAGACCCTCAAGGCCTCCTGTTACCAGCCTCCACTGCAACTCAGCCTGGTGGCTTGCCCCAGCTGTGTCTGTCTGCCTTACTTGTAGGTTCCTGACCTTTGCTCTGGCTTTCCACATCACTGGTACCACTGGGTGGGGGAATTTAGGTCATAGAGCATTAGGAGGGAGGGGCCAGCTGGGTATCACTGGGAAGTAAACTGAGGCACATGGAGGCAGGGACTGTGTGAGAAACTGCCTCCCCTGTCCTCTCTGTTGCTGATCCCTTCCCCCACTTCAAGATTAGCTTCCAACTGCTGACACTGCAACAAAAGAGATTTAGGGAACTGACGTCTTAGGAGAGCTCTTCCTCCCTTACCATCAATGCCAGGGAGGGGTGACTCCCCTTTCCCCCTAATACCATACAGTAACCCTTGCACTTCACCTAATGCAAACTGCCAACCTATGCCCCAGGTAACTGACAGGAATCATAGGCTTTCTGGGGGCCCTTCTGCTCTGAGGTTCTGGAGGGCTGAGACTAAAAAGCAGGTTGGGGCTGGGAAGGTGGCTCAGTGGTAGAGCGCTTGCCTCACATACATGAGGCCCTAGGTTTGACTCCTCAGCACCACAGAAGCAGAAAAAGCCAGAAGTGGCACTATGGCTCAAGTGGTAGAATGCTAGCCTTGAGCTGAAGAGCTGAGGGACAGCGCCCAGGCCCAGAGTTCAGGCCCCAAGACAGACCAAAAAAAAAAAGCAGGTGGAAGGTCAGTCACTGGAGGCTCATGCCTATAATCCTAGCTACTCAAGAGGCTCAGATCTGAGGATCACAGTTCAGACAGCAAAGTCTGTGAGACTCTTATCTCCAATTAACCACAAGAAAACCAGAAGTGGTGCTGTGGCTCAAGTGGTAGAGTGCCTGCCTTGGTGGAGGGAAGGGCAGGTGACCTGGAACTCTCTCTGCAGCCTTGGGGGAGCAAAGGTTTACTCAGGCAATCCCCCACTCCTAGCCTATGTGCTTTGTTGTTGGATAAGTTACAGAAGGCACATAGCTAAGCAGACAATCAGCACCTACTAGATGCAGTTTTTCTTTTCTTTTCTTCTTTTGGTCGGTCATGGGGCTCGAACTCTGGGCTTGGGCGCTGTCTCTGCGCTCTTCAGCTCAAGGCGAGCACTCTACTGCTTGAGCCACACCACCACTTCTGGGTTTCTAGTGGTTTATTGGAGATAAGAGTATCACGGACTTTCCTGCTCTGGCTGGCTTTGAACCGAGATCCTCAGATCTCAGCCTCCTGAGTAGCTAGGATTACAGGCATGAGCCACCAGCGCCTGGCTGCAGTTTTTCTTTTATCCATTTCAGACTCAAATTCCTGATGGTAGCTGAGCTCCTGTCCCACCTTCTCCTCTATTTTTTTCCCCTCTTATTCTCCATGACTGGAAGTATTGGAGGGCCAGAAAATGCCTCTAAACATGTGCAGAAAGGAAGAGTTTGCTAACAGCCCAGCAACCCTGAGAGGTGGAGGCGTTACCACCCCCTCTTACACATGAGGAAATGTTCAGACAGCCTTAATGTCAAGCTGTGAAAGGCTCAGAGAGGCCTTCCTCGCTCTGGGGCATCCAGATGTGAGCTTTCCTACCTCTTTTTAAGATAGGCTCTCAAAAGGGGACGACACTCTCCCCAGAGATATTTGGGGATGCATGGGGACCTTTGCAGTGCTGCTGGTAGGGAATGGGTAGAGACCAGTGATGTTATACTCAATACCTTGCAGTAGCCAGTACCCTAGACCACAGGACAGACCCAAATGTCATCAGTGACAAGGTAGAGACCCTGTGCTGAGACAGTAGCTGGTCTCTTCCTAACTCTTCCCATAGGGCCTGGAATGAGATATTTGCACACAGACCTTTAGTGATTCAACAAACATATTGGACGGCTCTTCTTGCACATACTCCACAATTCAGCTGGAGCCCCGAGTCAAGCTTGTCCTTGAACTGACAGCCCTAGGAGGGAGACAGACATATTTCTATTACAGACAGAAGACATTAGACTCAAGGCAGTCCTAGGGAATCCACAGGTGCTCCAGAGCCAACCCATGCAGTCCTGAGGTGTCACTAAGCCAGAGCTGGGGGTGGGAAGATGGTTACACATGGGTCCAGGAGGTTGACACAAAGCAGCCCAGGCCCCCGTCCCACTCCCTGTCTCTCCATCTTCCCCACAGGAGCCGTCACTCTGCTAAGCTTATACCTTCTATTCGGCTACGGGGCCTCTCTTCTGTGCAATCTAATCGGATTTGTATACCCCGCATATGCTTCGTGAGTCCAATGTGGGAGGGGGAGAGGGAGGAGGTCCCCAGATAGCCCCTTGGACCTGCCATCACCTCCTCCCTACAGAATCAAGGCTATCGAAAGCCCAAGCAAAGAAGACGACACTGTGTGGCTCACATACTGGGTGGTGTACGCTCTGTTCGGTCTGGCCGAGTTCTTCAGCGATCTACTCCTGTTCTGGTTCCCTTTCTACTACGCGGGCAAGGTGGACAGTGCAGCCTTGGCCTGGGGGGGGTGGGCGGGGAAGGAAGAGGGGAGGAATCACTAGAACTGTAGCCACACACCTGGGAATAGAGGAGGCAGGGATGATCAGAAAGAAGTCTGGGGCTGGGATGGGTCAACACAGCCAGCCCAGGACTGTCTGAGGGTAGAGGCACAGCTCTGCCCAGGGTCCCAAGGCTGGACATTGGGTGTGACTGCTCCCCGCTTCCCCCATGCCCTATCTGCACAGTGCGCCTTCCTGTTGTTCTGCATGAGTCCGGGGCAGTGGAACGGAGCCCTAATACTATATCACCGCGTCGTTCGACCACTCTTCCTAAAGCATCACGCAGCCGTGGACCGCGCCCTGAGCCATCTCAGCAGCAAAGCTCTGGACGCAGCAGCAGGAGTAACCAGGGACGGTGGGTATTGGGGGAGACACATGGCTGCCTTTGGTTCATTTATGCCAATCCTGGGGCTTGAACTCAAGGCCTGGTTGCTGTCTCTTAGCTTTTCCACTTCAGGTTAAAGTGCTCAACCACTTGAGCCACAGCTCTATTTATGGCTTTTTGATAGTTTATTGGAGATAAGATTCTCATGGAGGGGCTGGGAAGGTGGCTCAGTGGTAGAGCACTTGCCTTGCATGCCTGAGGCCCTGGGTCCGATTCCTCAGCACCACATAAGCAAAAAGAAAAAAGCCGGAAGTGGCGCTGTGGCTCAAGTGGTAGAGCGCTAGCTTTGAGCTGAAGAGCTGAGGGACAG